CAGGAAGTTCTTCCTAATGTTTAGGTGGAATCTTCTTTCTTGTAGTTTGGATCCATTGCTCCGTGTCCGCTTCTCTGGAGCAGCAGAAAACAACCTTTCTCCCTCCTCTATGTGACATCCTTTTATATATTTGAACATGGCTATCATATCACCCCTTAACCTCCTCTTCTCCAGGCTAAACATGCCCAGCTCCCTTAGCCGTTCCTCATAAGGCATCGTTTCCAGGCCTTTGACCATTTTGGTTGCCCTCCTCTGGACACGTTCCAGTTTGTCAGTGTCCTTCTTGAACTGTGGTGCCCAGAACTGGACACAGTACTCCAGGTGAGGTCTGACCAGAGCAGAATACAGTGGCACTATTACTTCCCTTGATCTAGATGCTATGCTCCTATTGATGCAGCCCAGAATTGCATTGGCTTTTTTAGCTGCCGCGTCACACTGTTGGCTCATGTCAAGTTTGTGGTCAGCCAAGACTCCTAGATCCTTTTCACATGTACTGCTCTCAAGCCAGGTGTCCCCCATCTTGTATTTGTGCCTCTCATTTTCTTTGCCCAAGTGCAATACTTTACATTTCTCCCTGTTAAAGTTCATCTTGTTGGTTTTGGCCCAGTTCTCTAATCTGTCAAGGTTGTTTTGAAGTGTGATCCTGTCCTCTGGGATGTTAGCCACCCCTCCCAGTTTGGTGTCATCTGCAAATTTGATCAGGATGCCCTTGAGTCCATCATCCAAGTTGTTGATAAAGATGTTGAATAAGACCGGGCCCAAGACAGAACCCTGTGGCACCCCACTAGTCACTCTTCTCCAGGATGAAGAGGAACCATTGATGAGCACCCTTTGGGTTCGGTCAGTCAGCCAGTTACAAATCCACTGACTGGTAGCATAGTCAAGACCGCATTTTACCAGCTTCTTTACAAGAATATCATGGGGCACCTTGTCAAATGCCTTGCTGAAATCAAGGTAGACTACATCCACTGCGTTCCCATCATCTACCAGGCTTGTAATTCTGTCAAAAAACGAGATCAGGTTAGTCTGGCATGACTTATTTTTCAGAAATCCATGCTGACTATTGGTGATCACAGCATTCCTTTCTAGGTGCGCACAGACTGTTTGCTTAATGATCTGCTCCAGAATCTTCCCTGGTATTGAGGTCAGACTGACTGGGCGATAATTATTTGGGTCCTCTCTTTTCCCCTTTTTGAAAATAGGGACAACATTTGCCCTCCTCCAGTCTGCCGGGACTTCGCCTGTTCTCCAGGAATTCTCAAAGATGACTGCCAGTGGTTCTGAGCATTATATTATAGTATTTGCACATTTTATACTGAGCTCTATTATTTTATATTGGTGGTATTACTCTGGATTTGAAGTGCCTGCCCGTCCAGCAATTTTAGTGAGATCTTTGGATTTAAAATAGGACAATTTTCTGACAGGCCTTTTAAAGAAAAAGCTTTGAATTTCAAATAGTGTGTAGTTTTCAATGTCTTTATTCCTGTTTATGCACTCCACAGCTTTGAATTGTTTTTAAAATTTCTCTTCTGGGGAAAAATAATAATTTGCACTGCTTTAAAATCTGGTCCAAATCAATTACAAATTAGCCTCTATGCAGGTGATGTAGATCTAATATTGGAAGAGCCAGAAATATTAGTACCACCACTGAAAATTTTGGGGGCATTTAGAACAGGTTTCTGGATGGAAAATTAATCAGAATGGCTATACAGTGGTACCTTGGTTTAAGAACAGCTTAGTTTATGAACAGCTTGGATTAAGAACGCTGCAAACCCGGAAGATGGTGTTTTGGTTTGTGAACTTTGCCTTGGAAGCAGAACATGTTGAGTTTGTTCCATTTGTAAATTGAGTCCCCTGCTGCTATGGGAAAGCACGCCTTGGTTTAAGAACGCTTTGGTTTAAGAATTGACTTCCAAAACGGATTAAGTTCGTAAACCAAGGTACCACTGTACTGTATACAACAAATGTGGCATCTCCAAGGAAACACCCATTAAAAAAATGGGTATATGGGTAATTGAGCCCTCTGGACGACGTAACATCTTGTAATCTACCCTGAGAGGTTAAAATGGATATGAAGAAGTCTTAAAACATTTCAGTAACTGAGAGGAACTTGCTTCCATGCACTTTATATTACTTTTTAGATTATGCCTTTGGAAGTGAATAACTCCTTGCTTACCTCTACTATGTGTCCAGTAGCCTAGAAAAACAATTTAGCCTTAAAAACCAGGACAACCTTTTCTGGAACACCTTGGCAGCTGTAAAATGTTCGTTGATCCTACCAGCACTCCTGACCATCCTTACAGGGATGAAATTATTTAATGTTACATAAACTGGTGAAAAATTGTAATTGTATTCAGGTTACTGTGAAAAAGGGCTGTATTTTAAACACTGATCATAGGATTTGGTAAGGTTTAGTGTTTTTTCCTTGCAAAGGTAGGGGGTGAGTTAACCCCAAGGGCTTAGTCTTGAGCTCCTGGATAGAGTTTGAAAGTGTTTGCACACGGTTTCAACTGGCTTGCTAAACCCTCTGTGATTTAGGGCTTGCCCTGCATGCAAAAACAGGCTCTGGCAAACTGAGCGGACCAGACCAAGCGTGGCTCCAGCAGTCGAGAAGGCGGTTTCCACACATGCTGTAGAGGGAAGTTGAAAGGCTCCTTTGCCTCTGTGATGTTGATTGACTACTTCCTCTAATGTTGTATCGACTGAATGTTATCCTTTGTGAATCCACTGTACATTTTCCGCTTAAGAACTGTGAAATAATGTGTGTTGCCAATATTTTGTTAGGCAAAAAGCTGCTAATAACATTGTCCAGGCTTCTGCCCCAGGGAAACAGCTTTGGTGCTACCAATGCAGCGGTTAGACTTCACTCCTCGAGGGGCACGCCATGGTCTCTCGAGACAGATGGATGCCAACTGAGGATGCCAATAGCAATAAAATACGCCAATGAACCACCTTTTAGAGACTTAAGAGATGAAGAATGCACATATACCCTCATCTCTTTGTCTTAGTGTTAGCCCCTTGGAGCCAACCAACTTGAACCAAGCTGTAAAAAAGGAGACAGAAGGAAGTCTACGTTTTATTTTCCTTCTCTCTCTCTCTTGTTGGTCTATCTTTGTTCTTTCTAATTTCT